GAAATGGATTTAGTGCTGTTTGATCCATCACCTTTAATTTGATTCATCATTTGTTATCATGCCACATCATCAAATAAGTGTCAGAATTTTTTTTCTTTGTTTCGTAGTGCTTGTAAATCAATTTTCTTTTCTATATCTAGGAAGCTCTGCATCTCTGCAAAAGTTTACTAGGAATTCAAAAAGAATTGAAGTTCAATGCATTGGTCTTGTTTTGCAGGTTAAGAAGATGAGGAAGGATGGAACCAACAAAAGTGCACAACAAAGAAGCTGTAATTTTTCTAGGTATGCCTTATTCACAGAGGAATTCCATAAGAAAAACTCAAGGAAATACAAATCACTTGAATCTAGGAATGAACATGTGAGAAATGCTTGGGACAAATTATCTAAACAGCAAAAAGAGGAGTATTGTAAAAGAGCTAAGGAACAAAGAGCTCCCACAAAGTCCAAGAAGTATGTAGTTTCTTTCTACACTAGATGTGCACCAAAACAATTTATGCAAGTTTGCAAGATAATCAAAGAAAGGAAGGATCTAATGGACAGGCTGAAGAAGATAGGTTTTGACAAGCTGGTGGAAGTATGTTGCCACACAATTCAAAGAGAATTGTGTGGAGAGTTTATGTCTGCATTTGATCTTGCATCAAAAAACATTTCAATAAGAGGGAAGAGAAGGGAAATGAGGGCAAAAGATGTGCATGAATTTTTGGGGCTATCATTTGATGGAGAAGAGATTAAAGTAGTTGTGAATAATGAAGATGAAGTGTTCAAGCAGTGGAGGATTGTGTATGACAATATTCCATACAAGAAGATAGCATCATTGTTGAGTGAGGAGAACCAAGATGAAAATTTTGAGGTGCTGTTTGTCATATATGCATTGGGAATATTGTTATGTTCTAATACAAGTATTTGTGTGGGTGATTATTTGTTGAAGGTAATACTATCAACAAAGGATAGATTGGATAAGTTTGATTGGTCCTCTTATGTGTTGCATGAACTATATAAGGGGACTGGAGTGTACAAGAAACAATTGGAAAAAAGGCAAGTTGACTGAGAAGAAGAAGAATGTGCCAGGTTGTCTATACTTCCTAATGGTAAGTGCTGTAATAATTTGTATATTTCTGTTGTCATTTGATGGTCTGAATGTTGTCAATGGCTGCTGTTAACTTATCATTCATGTCACATGTAGTTATATTGTCTACAAAATTTTCCACTGGGAGAAATAAAAGCTGGACATGTAAAGCATGCTGTTGCATATTGGGATGAAAAGAAAGTGCAGCAAAGAGTTAAAGAGGAGAAGGAAAGCAATCGAGGACTCTTGCATCCAGCAAAGCAATCCACCAAATTTGATCCTGAAAATTTAACTCACTCGGTATGTGGACTTGTAGGCTTAATGATTAATTTTTAGTTTTTTAGTTTTTGTTTTTCTACTATTGCTTACTGTTCTGAATTTTATTTGTATAGGAGATCAAAAAGACATATACTCGATTAGTGTCTATGCTGGGGGAGGAAATGATGGCCCTTCAATCAAGACTAAGGGAGGGTAGTGGCAATGTAAGTGAAGAAGACAAAGATGAGGAAGAAGAATCTGAAGCAGAAGAGGAAAAAGTTGAGAAAGGAAGTGATTCAGAGGATGAGGAAGAAGATGATAGAAATGAAGAAGAAGAATCTGAATCACAAGATGATATAAATGAAGAAGAAGAGCAAGAAACTCAGTCAGAAAAGGAGATGGGTAGACAAGAATCACATGACAAAGAAAAAGAAGAGGATGAAGAGGAAAAAGAGAAGGGAAATGAGGACAAAGAAGATGAAGAAGAGGATGAAGAGGATAAAGAAGTGGATGAGGCCACCCAAGGGGAAGGGAACGAACATGTGAGGAAATCAACAAGGGTGATAAGTAAGGGGAAAGCTCTTAGGTCTCCATTTTTGGAATTTAAAAGCAAGGCTGGGAAAAAGAGAACAATTGATGACAGACAAGCTTTATTTGACATGTGTACAGCAAGGTATAATCAAGAGGAGCAAGAGCAGTAAGTATTATGTTTTGGTGACCAATTTTGTATTATGTTACAGAATTTACTGAATTTACTAACTTTATAATTGTTTCATTTGTGTTAGATACTTTGTATCGATGTATGGATACTTCCTAATCCATGGTGAGTTGCAATGTCTCCAAATAGAAGATGGATAAACAACAGGGTGAGTCACACGTAGATAGTTAATATCAGAATGAGTTATTGCATGCTAAGGAGTTGTGATTTGTTTGTATTTGCAATTTCAGTTTATGACTATGGTGGCGAAGACATTCGTTGGAGATCAAAAGCAAAAAGATGGGCAAGTGAACCGCCATATATTTTCTGCAGATTTCATGCAGAAAATGGTGGCGAATCCTTTAAGGTAGAAATGGGAGGACCATGAAAGAGAAATATTACCTGAATATATTGGATACAATATCGGGGACTGTGATTTCATTTTTGGTCCTACTCTATTTGAAGATCATTGGTTTTGTTATGTTTTTGAGACGAAGACCATGACCTTCCATGCCCTTGACTCGTTGGTTGATAGCATCACATTCATGAGATTACAAGCCGAGGAAGAAGAAGCAAAGAAGAAGGGGGTTGAGCAACAATATCATGCAAAGAAGAAGAAAAAGAGGACAAATAAAGGACATTTCGACCCCAAACAGTTCATGGCAACACAAACTGTGAGTAGTTATTTACAGCTTTTATACTTGTCAATGACTATTATAATTGTTACTAGCAGTCTGGATAGTTGTCATTGCATGCTTTGGTAGTTGTCACTGGATGCTGTACTAGTTGTCACCGGATGATCTGTTACTTATCACTGGATGCCATGCTAGTTGTCACTGGATGCTTTGTCCCTTGTCACTACGTGCTGTGGTAGTTGTCACTAGATGATGTGCTAGTTGTCATTGCATGCTTTGGTAGTTGTCACTGGATGATCTGTTATTTGTCACTGGATGGTATATTAGTTGTTAGTTGTCACTGGATGATATATTAGTTGCCACTGGATGCCCTGTTTGTTGTCACCAGATGCTCTGTTAGTTGTCACTGGATGCTCTGTCTCTTGTCACTACATGCTGTGGTAGTTGTCACAGGATGCTGTGCTAGTTGTCATTGCATGCTCTGGTAGTTGTCAGTGGATGATCTGTTACTTGTCACTGGATGATATACTAGTTGTTAGTTGTCACTGGATGATATATTAGTTGCCACTGGATGCCCTTTTTGTTGTCACCAGATGCTCTATTAGTTGTCACTGGATGCTATGCTAGTTGTCACTGGATGCTCTGTCCCTTGTCACTACATGCTATGGTAGTTGTCACTGGATGTTGTGCTAGTTGTCACGGGATGCTCTGTGCCTTGTTACTGGATGTTGTGTTGTTAGTGCTGCCTTTTCATTATGTGTGTGTGTTTTTTTTTTCCAGATGAACTGTTTCCACTCGATGCTACGTGCTGTTAAGCCAGAATTGTTTGTCAATGAGGACAAAATTGACAACGAAGTGAAATGGGCTAAAGTCTATGTGCAGAATGATACATAAGTGTAGTTGTTCCGTTTGATTGTGTTATGTTGTTTTTCATGTTGTACGCAAGGTGCTAACATATTCAATTTATTTGGTAGTGATTCATGTGGAGTTCATGTTATCTCTTGGCTACAAGAGTGGGATGGCACTATTCGGGATGATGCAGGATATACAATGCCACGGTACTCTAATGATGAACTACAAGAGTTGAAGGTTGGCTGTTTGTGGTGGTTGGTTACCCATCCCAATAATGAACATGGGAGTGAAGTGATGTCGATGCTATCGGACTATAACAAGACCAAGAAGAGGAGATAGAGTAGTCTATGAATTTTTTGTTGTCTTAGCCCATGATATGTGTTGTAAGATGATTAGCAAATAGGTCATTTTGTAACAAACTGATCAGATTATGTTTATAATATTATTACCTTTGTCATCACATATTGTAATACTAATTTGTTAGGGTTTTATTACATTTTTAATTATATTTCTATTTTATATGTGTAGAGATATTATGGTTGGTTACCTTGCGTTTAAATTAACAACCTGAGTTATCCAAAATAACAACTAATATAATAGGAGTTAATGACAAGTGATATGAGAATTTCATAACAAGTCACAGTGCCCCATTGACAAGGCATAGTGCCCCATTGACAAGGCATAGTGCAACCATTGACAAGGGACGGTGTTGCCATTAACAAGGGACAATGTTGCCATTGACAGGTCACAGTGCCCCATTGACAAGGCATAGTGCAACCATTGACAAGTGACGGTGTTGCCATTAACAAGTCACAGTGTTGTATTGATAAGTCATAGTGCGCCATTGACAAGACATAGTGCAACCATTGACAAGGGATGGTGTTGCCATTAACAAATCACAGTGCTGTATTAACAAGTCACAGTGCTCCATTGACAAGGGACAATGTTGTCATTGACAAGCCACAGTGCTCCATTGACACATTACAGTGTTGTCATTGACAAGTCACAGAGCCACCACTGACAGGGAATAAGGGAGAGGTAAGTTTTTGACACTTCATTAATAATGATTATATATGACCATACAACCAAAATATAATATGACAGAGTGATTGTAAATATCATTTCATGGTAAAAAAGGTTATGTTACTTGAATTCATGTTGTTGACAACTTACATCAGCAAATTCATTAACAAGTCGTAGTGCAATGATTGACAAGTCATTATAGGTCTAGTGACAACTCAGGGTGCAGGTAATGACAACTAAAATGACAGTACAATGTAACATGCCAATTCATAGCCAACTTTCATTTACACCTTCATATACATGAAACTACACCTATTTCACAACCCATCCCAAAAATAACATAGGGGTTGCATGTAATAATGAAACTAACCAGTGGTGTGTATCCATTTACAAAAAATTTCCTTCACACCCATTTACAAAATATTCTCTTCACATCCATATACAAAAAATAGCTGACTTCAATATGTTCTTAGCTGGGATTTGGGTTCTTGCATGTCTTGGCAGTATGTCCAGGCTCTTTGCATCTTCCACAATGATAAACCTTCTTATTTTGGAATTGAGATTCTATCCTATTAATCCTTGGCCTTCCTAGAGGCTTTTTGGTTATCGGTGGATGCAAGAATGTTTGGGTCAGCATATGACTCACAGTAGGTGTATCAGGCTGTGGGCAATCATGTGTTGCAATTGGCCTCATGCTATTTGCATATATTTTCTCCTGTGTGGACAATTTGTAACAATCATCTACATAATCATACACACTACGATGAACTAGTTTGATTGCTGCACAAGCATGTGGACAAGGTATTCCACTCATTTGCCATGCCAAACATGTGTATCTGTGAGAAATCAGATCAACAGCAACATAGATGATGCGTCCCTCACGTATTGTCTTCACCGAAATATGGTCATCACCATAATATGTTGCCTCCATATATGCACCTCTTGTTATTTGTTCCGACAACTTTGATTCAATATTGGGTCCTACACCATTTTTCCAGCTTTTCATCCCCATTTTGCTAGCAACCATCTTCTTGGTCAACTTCTCTTGATGCTCTTGTATCAAAACCGGCAAGGCGTGCTTCCTTTCTTTCAACATCCATGCATTAAAAGACTCAGCAAGATTATTGGTGATGTTATCCCATCTCTTAAAAGGAAATTTACTTTGCGCTCATCGATCCACATCCCCATGAGATTCAACCCATTGTGCCAATTGAGGACAAAACAATCTTAAATTTCTCATTGCAACATTAAACTCATTATCATGCCTTGCATATGCAATTCCATCAAGTAAATTAAGTGCATTCTCCTTGTTATTTTCTGAGGTCCGTCTCACACCTCTATTGATTTTCACATACTGCGCACTATAATTTTCTTTCACATGTCGATAGCAAAAAGCATGTCTGTCACCATTAAATACTATCCTGACAGCACTGATAATAGCATTACTCCGATCTGAGACAATTGTCACTTATGCTGATCTGGTTATCTCTTTCAGATACCAAGTCCATTCATCATTTGTTTCTCTGCTAACAATACCATATGCTAAAGGAAACAACTCATTGTCTGCATCAAATGCACAAGCTGATAATAAAGTTCCTTTGTAAGGACCACTCAAATGACATCTATCTATATAAATAATTGGTCTGCAACCTTCCACAAAGCCTTTAATTGAGCATCCATATGCAATGAATAGCCTCTCAAATCGGTTGCTATCTGAGCCTTCCCATGTTGCAACTGTGTCAGGATCAGTTTTCATTAGTCTCTCACACATCCAAGGGATTACCTTATAAGAATCTTCTACTCGACCATGTAATTCCATTAGTGCTCTCTTTCTAACCCTATATGCTTGAGTATAGTTCAATTGCACTCCATATTCTTTATACAAGTCTTTCTAATTTCATTAGGACTCTTGTCAACATTGCACCTCAAGTCATCAATCACAATTGAAGCAGCTAAATTTGACCTTCTTGAGTGAGGTACAATTAAGTTGTCCTGTGCATGATGAATGTGTTCACTTTTGTACGTTCTGATAATTAAAAACTCAGTATCTTGATGTGCTCCCATTGAATATGCACCCATACAACCATCAACCTTGCACTTCACAATGATCTTTTGCTGATTATTCTTAATGAAAAGGTACGAAAACTTCTGACATAAGCTGTACTTGTATAATGTTTTTCGGAGAGTAGTGGCATTTGGAAATATTTGTCCTTCTCTAATAATCAAATCCTTCCATTTTGTGGAATTCATTTGTGGTGTAGGTGTTGGGATCATTTCAACAGCACAAGGAATTGATTGCGGCTCTCCAATCACATCAAATAAGGTAGGTGGAGACATAGACAATTCATTGACACCTCCAAATGATTGATCAATCCTGCAGAAAATGACAAGTCAAGGTGCATGTATTGACAAGTTGGTAGCAATACAGTAACAACTGACATACTAAGAAATCACAATAATAATTTTCTTAAACTATACTTACACATCTTGCTCCTCCATTGTATTATCTCTTGTTGCTTCTATGTGGTCCTTATTTTCATTTTCTTCGACATACATATGACCACTTTCTTCATTTAACTTTATCAAATGTTCCACCCCATCATCATCTACCAACTCCACAAAAGTTTTTTTATCAAACACAACTGAGAATTTCAGAACAAATGAGTTGCTTTCTTTTCCAGCAATTGATGATATAATTTCCTTCAATTCTTCATAACTTGTGCCCTCCTTTACATTGGTTGTTCTTACACTACCTCCCACATATCTCATATTATCTTCTCCATCATTTATAAACTTTCCCCCTATGTGAACAAAGCAAAATAGATATTTTCTAGACGTACTCGCCATCAGTAACTTAAACCTGCATCAACCAGCATGCAACTGTCATTGACAACTTAAGAAGCTATATTGACAAGTGTAGGAGCACACATTGACAACAATCGCAGCCTGATTGACAACACAATCCTATTTCACACTAAGGGTTTCTACCTTCACTAACATTCATCTTTTTCTTCCTTTGCCACTAAAGTAACATCAGAACAGAGGAAAACCACCCAAAAATAGAGCACCCATTATCATTTTACACACCCAACTTAAATCACAACACACACCAACCAAAAACACAGCTTTTCCATTCATTAACTTCTGAATCCTAAACCAAAAACAAAAGCTTTGAAATACCATCAGTAACTTAAACTTGCATCAACCAGCACGCAACTGTCATTGACAACTTAAGGAGCAACATTGACAAGTGTAGGAGCACACATTGACAACAATCGCGGCCTGATTGACAACACAATCCCATTTCGCGCTAAGGGTTTCTACCCTCACTAACTTCATCTTTTTCTTCCTTTGCCACTAAAGTAACATCAGAACAAAGGAAAACCACCCAAAAACAATCCAAAAACAGAGCACCCATTATCATTCTACACACCCAACTTAAATCACAACACACACCAACCAAAAACACAGCTTTTCCATTTATTAACTTCTGAATCCTAAACCAAAAACAAAAGCTTTGAAATACCATCAGTAACTTAAACCTGCTTCAACCAGCACGCAACTGTCATTGACAACTTAAGGAGCTACATTGACAAGTGTGGCGGCACACATTGACAACAATCGCAGCCTGATTGACAACACAATCTCATTTCGCACTAAGGGTTTCTACCCTCACTAACCTTCATCTTTTTCTTCCTTTGCCACTAAAGTAACGTCAGAACAGAGGAAAACTACCCAAAAAAAATCCAAAAACAGAGCACCCATTATCATTCTACACACCCAACTTAAATCACAACACACACCAACCAAAAACACAGCTTTTCCATTCAATAACTTCTGAATCCTAAACCAAAAACAAAAGCTTTGAAATACCATCAGTAACTTAAACTTACATCAACCAGCACGCAACTGTCATTGACAACTTAAGGAGCAACATTGACAAGTGTAGGAGCACACATTGACAACAATCGTGGCCTGATTGACAACACAATCTCATTTCGCGCTAAGGGTTTCTACCCTCACTAACCTTCATCTTTTTCTTCCTTTGCCACTAAAGTAACATCAGAACAGAGGAAAACCACCCAAAAACAATCCAAAAACAGAGCACCCATTATCATTCTACACACCCAACTTAAATCACAACACACACCAACCAAAAACACAGCTTTTCCATTCAGTAACTTCTGAATCCTAAACCAAAAACAAAAGCTTTGAAATACCATCAGTAACTTAAACCTGCTTCAACCAGCACGCAACTGTCATTGACAACTTAAGGAGCTACATTGACAAGTGTGGCGGCACACATTGACAACAATCGCAGCCTGATTGACAACACAATCCCATTTCGCGCTAAGGGTTTCTACCCTCACTAACCTTCATCTTTTTCTTCCTTTGCCACTAAAGTAACGTCAGAACAGAGGAAAACTACCTAAAAAAATCCAAAAACAGAGCACCCATTATCATTCTACACACCCAACTTAAATCACAACACATACCAACCAAAAACACAGCTTTTCCATTCATTAACTTCTGAATCCTAAACCAAAAACAAAAGCTTTGAAATACCATCAGTAACTTAAACCTGCATCAACCAACACGCAACTGTCATTGACAACTTAAGGAGCTACATTGACAAGTGTGGCGGCACACATTGACAACAATCGCGGCCTGATTGACAACACAATCCCATTTCGCGCTAAGGGTCTACCCTCACTAACCTTCATCTTTTTCTTCCTTTGCCACTAGAGTAATATCAGAACAGAGGAAAACCACCCAAAAACAGAGCACCCATTATCATTCTACACAACCAACTTATATCACAACACACACCAACCAAAAACACAACTTTTCCATTCATTAACTTCTGAATCCTAAACCAAAAACAAAAGCTTTGAAATACCAAAGGCAAAAACGATTTTGTGATTTCTCATTCCCAAACAAATCCAGAATCTGTCAAGAAAGGTAGGAGAGGAGAGAAAAGAAAGTTTCACACCTCAAGATTTGTGAAGATTCACATGGAAGCACTTTGGAGTTCAATAATGGTAATGGAGAAGATTTTTCATCATCAATGGCTCCTTCTCTCTTTCCCAATGTCTTCTCCCTCAAGCTTCTTGCATGGGAAATCCTCAAAGTTCATTCTCCTGTCTTTGTTTTCTGATGGCAGGGACAGGGCAAAACGGTAATTAGTGGATTCTGAAAATTACATCTAAGTCCCTTTGGGACTTCAAAAAAATTATCAGATTTCAGGGGACCTATTTGATGTATTTTGTTCTCCATGGGATCTCAATGTCATTTTCCCAAGTTTTATCCCCTTGCGTGTGCATATATACATATATATGGGTTGATACAAACTTTGCCGTCTTGATTTTTGTTTTGGCCACTTAAATTTTAAATCGTTAGTTTTAATTTTTTACATTTCTTTTTATTTATAATATTGATCCTCGTAATTTAATAAAAACTTGAACTATTTTATTTTTTAAGAGACCAAAACATACAGTTTGAAATTTGATAGACTAAAACCAAAATGAGGGTAAAGTTACATGATAAAAAATTATATTAACTTATATATATATATATATATATGTATGTATGTATGTATATGCTTGCTTTTAGGCACAAGCTACGACTATGTTTGGATTACAATTTAGACTGCAAAATGTGCCTTCGAAAACACGAAACGTGGGTTGGGGAGTTATTGTTGGGACTGTGTTTTCTCCATTATATGATAGGCTTCAAATTGACTTTTTGCTTTCACTGTTAAGTGCCTTGCGGTGAATCGGACCCAGTAACGTGTTTTAGTTGTTACTAGAATTTTCTCCCCCATGCGACGCATAAAATGATACATATTAAAATAGTTAATACTGCTAAAAAAATATTTTATTATATTCTTTCCATTTTAATCTATTGTAAAGAAAATTTAACTTTTGTTATTTACTCCCTCCAATTCAAAATATAATATAAACTTTATCTCCCTATTTATTAAGAAATTAGTTAAAATCAGTTTAAAATAAT